ATTTTAGTAATAATGTTTAGAACTATGCTTTTCAAACTCAGGTTAATTCTGAGTAATGAGTCTTACCACTATTAAAAAAAAAAAGGCAGGGGGAATATAACAAGTCAGAGGCCATCACACACAGTAAGCATTGTTTGTGAAATAGGTGAAAGGATTGCCTGAGCCCAGGGGTTTGATACCAGCCTGGGCAACTTGGTAAGACCTCATCTCCACAATAAAATTTTAAAAATTAGCCAGGTGTGGTGGCACACACCTGTGGTTCCAGCTACTTGGAAGGCTGAGGTGGAAGGATTGCCAGAGCCCAGCAGGTGGAGGCTGCGGTGGCTGTGAGTGTGCCACTGCACTCCAGCACTCCAGCCTGGGCAACAGTGATACTCTGATTCAAAAAAGAAAAGAAAAGAAAAAACCAAATCCAAGGCAGTACAGCAAAGCATCTGAAAAACTGAAACGACATTGGAACCACGGCCCACAGATGATGAGGCAGGACTTGTGATTTGAACTTAACTGGGTAAACTGCCTGATAAAACAAAACAAAGTCAACAGTTTCTAGAGCAGGGGTCAGCAATCTTCCTTATATAGGGTCAGATAAATATGTTATGCTGTACCATACATTCTCTATCACAACTACTCAATTCTGCCATTGTAGTGCCAAAGCAGCCATAGACAGTATTCCAATAAAACTTTATTTGTAAAAACAGGAGGAAAGCTGGATTTAGCCTGCAGGCCATAGGTTGCTGATTCCTACTGTAGACGAATTTTAACAAGAGTTTCACGACATACCTTTCAAAATATCCATGATACAATCCAAAATTAATCAACAAAGTCCTAGGAAAATGTAATCAATGGTTATGGGAAAAGATGATCAAAAGATGTCAATCTCTAAATAACCCTAAGATTGGAATTGTAGACAAAGACTTAAAATAGCTATTATAACTGTGCTCTGTGAGGCAAAGATAAGCACACTTGAAATGAAGGGAAAAACAGAAGTTCTCAGCTGGGAAATACAAACTATAAAAAGAAGCAAATGGGAATTTTAGAACCAAAAAAATACAATATCTAAAATAAAAATTCACTGGATGGGCTTAATAGCAGAATGGAGATGACAGTAGAAAGAGTCAATGAACTTTAAAATAAAGAGAAATCATCTAATCTGAAGAAGTGAAAGGAAAAAAGTTTGAAAAATAATGAACAGAGTCTCTGAGTCTAATGTTCATATTATTGGGGTCCCAGAGGAGGAATAAAGATTGGTACAGAAAAAAAAATTGAAGAACTATTCTCAAACTTAGTGAAAGATATAAAATTACAGGTTCAAGAAACTCAGTGAACTCCAAACAGGATGACTGCAGATAACAAACTCCAGAAAACAAAAAAGAACAATTTACACTCAGATACATAATCAAACTTTGGAAACTTAAATAAATAAATAAATAGATCTCAAAAGCAGTTTGAGAAATAGTATGACGGTTCCTGAAACAATTCAAAATAGAACTACTAGCAATTCTACTTCTGGGTATGTATCCAAAGAACTGGAAGTAGGATCTTGAAGAGATATTTGTATACCCATGTTTACAGTAGCATTATTCACAATAGTCAAAAGGTGGAAGCAACACATTAACAAAATGTGGTAAATACACACAAATATTATTTAACCATAAAAAAGGAAGTTCTGATCCATGCTAAAACATGGATGTACCTTGAGGACATTACGCTAAGTGAAAGAAGTCAGTCACAAAAAGATAATCATTGTGTGATTCCACTTATACAGGGTGCCTAGAATAGTTACATTCATAAAGACAGAAAGTAGAATGGTGGTTGCCGGAGGCTGGAGGCAGAAGGGAATTGGGAGCTGTTGTTTAATGGGTATAGAATGCCAGTTTTGCAAGACGAAAAGAATTCTGGAGATTAATTGCACCCACAATGTGAGCATACTTAACATTACTGAGGCCAGGCACAGTGGCTCAAACCTGTAATCCTAGCACTTTGGGAGGCTGAGGTGAGAAGATTGCCTGAGCCCAGGGGTTCAAGACCAGCAACTTGGTGAGACCTCATCTCTACAATAAATAAAAAAATTAGCCAAGCATGTTGGCGCATGCCTGTAGTTCCAGCTACTTGGAAGGCTGAGGCAGAAGGATAGCCTGAGCACAGCAGGTCGAGGCTATGGTGGCCACGAGCATGTCACTGCACTCCAGCCTGGGCCACAGAGTGAGACTCAAACTCAAAACAAAAGAAAAAAACATTACTGAACTATACACTTAAAAATGATTATGATAAGGCCGGGCGCTGTGGCTCACTTCCATAATCCTAGCACTTTGGGAGGATTGCCAGAGCCTGTGGGTTTGAGACCAGCCTGGGCAACTTGGCAAGACCTTGTCTCTACAATAAATCCAAAAATTAGCTGGCCATGGTGGCGCTCACCTGTAGTTTCAGTTATTTGTAAGGCTGAGGTGGAAGGATCTCCTGATCTCAGTAGGTCGAGGCTATGGTGGCCGTGAGGAGCATGCCACTGCACTCCAGCCACAGAGTGAGACTCTGACTCAAAACAAAAACAAAATAAAGTGCCAGAAGGAAAAAAGAAGTCAATATCCAGAGAAAACATATTCTGGAATGAAGGCAAAATAAAGACATTGTCAGATGAAAGAAAACTAAGAGACTTGTTGGCAGACTTGCTCTAAGAGAAGTGCTAAAGAAAGTTTCCCAGGCTGAAGGGAAATAACTAGACCAGAAGGAAGCTTGGAACTCAAGGAATAAAGGAAGAACGTAAGAGGTAGGTAAATGTCTTCTCTTCAGTTCTTTCAAATATTTATGACTATTAAGAAAAAGTGATAATAGTATCTCATGAGGTCTTCAATGTATGTAGACATAATTCATACAATTATAATATAAAGGAGGAAGGGTAAAAAGGATCTGGATGGTTGTAAGCCTGCATTTTACTTGAAGTGATAAAATATAAACTCTAAGGAGATTGGGAACAGTTAGGTATATCTATTATAATCATTAAAGCAATCTCTTAAAAAAATACAAAGTGATATAGTTAGAAGCCAATAGATACAAATAGTCAAATAATTCAAAAGGTGGCAGGAAAGGGAGGAGAGAAAAGCAAAAACCAAAGGCAACAAACAGAAAAAAAAAAGTGGTAGACCAAAGTCCAACTATATTAGTACAATTAATAGTAAATGGTCTAAATGCACCAATTAAAAACAAGCAATTGTCAGACTAGATTGAAGAACAAGACCCAACTACATTCTGTCTTTAAGAAATTCACACTAAGCCGGGCACAGTGGCTCATGCCTGTAATCCTAGCACTTTGGGAGGTGGAGGTGAGAGGATTGCCTGAGCCTAGGGGTCTGAAACCAGCCTGGGCAACTTGGCGAGACCTTGTCTCTACAATAAATAAAAAATTAGCTGGACGTGATGGCACATGCCCATTGTTCCAGCTACTTGGAAGGCTGAGGCTGGAGGATTGCCTGAGCCCAGAAGGTCTAGGTTACAGTGGCCATGAGCGTGCCACTGCACTCCAGCCTGGGTGACAGGGTGAGACTCCAACTCAAAAAAAAGCCTTCTTCATACTTCACTTTTTTTTCTATTATTATTATTATTTGTAGAGATGGGGATCTTGCTAAGTTGCCCAGGCTGGTCTTCAACTTCTGGCCTCAAGTGATCCACTCACCTCAGTCTCCTAAAGTGCTGGGATTATGAGCATAAGCCATCATGGCTGGCACAGTCACTTGAACTTTGAAGTCACATTCTACCTCCTGTATGTTTCTGGGAGGTCTGTCTCTATGTTCAAGTCTTTATTATGGAGATTGTTAACTGAATCCTAATGTCTGTTTTCCCCTTCCTCCACAGTAACAAAACCCTGATTTTTAGCTAGGCACATAGTTGCCTAGAATAGACTAATCCCCTCAACCTTCTTTGCAACTAGGGGTGACCTACTATGGCCTAAGTTCTGCTGTGAGTTGTAAGAGGAAATATTACAGGGCAGCTTCCTGTAACCTTCCTTGCAACACTGCTATTGTACATTTCCTTCTTTTTCTTTATTCCCTCTTTAATCTACCCCACTGCATGGAAAGTTGATATAAAAATAGCTGGAGTGTTAGCTACCATCTTGATGTGAAGACCTAGGGAGGGAGTCCAATTTTCAAAGGAATTTGTGAAATAGAATCATCATACCAGCCCTGGGTTGCCTACTTTGGGATGTTTGTATGAAGGAGAAGTAAACTCCCATCTTGTGTAAATCACTGCTATTTTTGGTTTCTGTTACACATAGCTAAATTTAATCCTTATGCAGTTCCCAATGACTGAAACCACGAAATATTCAAATAAATCCTAGGAAGAAGTTCTGGGTGGAGAAATCATTCCAATCTATTCTTTGTAGATGAAAAATGTAGTCAACTACCTTTCTTGAGACATTTAATAGTAAGGTTGCCAAGAGAAAAACCAACAGCCAACAACCAAAAAAGGCTGAATGAAGACCCTAAACAGAAGGCCGGTCTTAGTTCTCTATGCTTTGGTGGAAAACATACTAAACAGGCAAGCTGAGAGTATAGGCTAGTTCTGACTCTGATACCTTCCTAGGCCTTGGGTTGGATTTTCCTCTGTGAACGATGAGGGATTAAACTAGATATCTCTAGGCTTTCATCTAGCACTGAAAGTCGAGTCCATTTTCTAACCTCTATTGGATTACATACTCCTTAAGGATGAATGAAATAATCCGTTTAGAGTGCTTATCACGGTGCTTGGCACACACCAAGGTGCTCTATAAACGCTAGCCATTGGGAACCCAGCTACTTGGTTTTGTAGTTTCCACAGTATCTTTCACAGAATAGGTGCTAAGTGAGCGAGTGCAGACGTCCTGAGAGTGCCTTCTGATCTTCTGTTGAGCCTTGCTTGCCCTGGAGTAGGCCTGTCTTCCTTAGCTACTAGCATCAGCAAGAAAAACTCAAGAAAAGGAGACTCCTTAGGTTACAGGTTACCCAATGCAGAGGAGAGAAGTCAGCAGATGGAGGAGGAAATACACCATTTATTTACAATTCTTTCACTTTATCCACAATTTCCCATACAAACATAAAAACTAAAAAAATAAAACCACCACTTGGGAACACAAGTGTCTTTCTTTAATTCGTCTGGTTGAGGGAGGGTCACAAGCCCTCTCACTCTATGGAGGAGACTACTGAGGCACACTGAAGGGGGAGGGAAAGGGTTAGAAAGAATGCCTGAGAAACAACCTGGATGAGAAACCAAATTCGTACCTGGGAGGTGTGGTGGGGCATTATTGGCAAAGAGACTCAAGGGTGTCACCGGCTGGGGACACTGCTGGGCTTCCCCAGAGGACAACAGCTGTTTGCCCCCATCCCCCCACCCTCCACTACCAATACCAAAAATCGAACATGGGTCACACATCTCAAGAGCTGTGTGGCTGTGAAGGTGACGGTAGGGGACGATGAGTGCTGCTCTCTGAGAAGAGCCCCAACCTCCAAGGACACACAGGAAACCCTTTTCCTTGGCACTGAATAGTCAGTCACAGCTTCTGTCCTGAATATAATGCTGACTTAAAAATATAAAAACAAAAGTCCTCCCCAGATTCTGGGGAAAAGGCAGGGACTAAAAACCTATGGAGAGGGCTTGTCTGCCTCTGCAGTCCCTTCCTGGGGAGGCTGCTAGGGATGAGGGGGGTGCTCTGTTTGCTGAAGAGGGGAGGAGCAGGGCGGATGCTCCAGAAAGGCCTGGGAAGGGGTGGGAAGAAAGGGGAGGAGAGGAAAACTCTTGAGACACTGATGATCAGGCTGGCTGCCACTGGGTTTCCGAGCAGCCCCACTGTTCAGCCAGATGCCCTCCAGCAGCCGCCCCCTCTACACCCCTCAAGGAGGGCGCCCAGGAACCAAACTGGAGTTTCTAAAGCCACCTGCTTGGCAACTTTATCTGTGCTAGTGACCTAGATTGCTTTCACATGTTGATGCACATTATAAATATAAAATCATATCTGCTACAAAGAGGACATATATTTATACATCTTTACCCATATACATAATAACACAATTTACACATAATATCTTGGAGTGGGTCATCATGAGAAAAGGGTTTGGAGAAGTAAACAGCCCCTTCTCCCCTCCCCGCCCCCTCCCCTGATCCTTCTCAAGTGACTCTTGTACACTTGGTCACTGGGGCCTTTTCCAACTGGTCTAATGGGGCTAATCTGGACACAGAGATTCAGACATGTAACTAAATGCTGCCGAGTATACACACACACTCACACACACATACAGACACCTGGTGAGAAAGGAGAGACAACATTCTAGCCCTTGGGTGTAGGCCTCTTCCCAGAGCTATATGCATCAGTGCCTCCTCCATTTGGAACAATGGTCTTTAAAAGTTGCCCCTTACTGGCTCAGACTAGGGCAGAAGGGGAAGGACTGGGAAACCAGGGACAGGGAAGAAGGGCCAGGAATCTTTTGAAAACATAAGGCGTTTTTGACCTGTAATCAAACCAAACTATGTCACAAAAACCAACATTATCAGTTGGCGCCTGGAGGTGGGAAACTGCCAGTCCATGTAGGGACAATGTGAGTTGAGACCCTGAGCCTTCCCCTTGTTTCATCCAGTTTCTTTTAAGGGGACAGACAACCCTGTACCACCTTTTCTGTCCTCTCCCAGAACCGGGCCCATCCATATGGCATGGAATACTGATAGTGGTCCAAGTAACACATCCAGAGACATGGAGTGGTGGATGCCAAGAAGTTAAGACCTGTGTGGCGGGTGTGAGCTTTGTACAACAGGAGCGGTTCCTGGCCAGCGTCCACGGCTCGCACAGTGGCCACAGTGATCAGATTGCCATCAGAGATGGGGGCAGTCTGGGTCCCCACAGGGAGACAGCACCTATCGGCGGTAGTGATTGGGGGCATCGGCAAACATGTACTTGAGTCTGTATGCCTCAGCGAGAAGCAGTCCAATCTCTTCATTGCCCCAGTGTATTGTAGGCAGGTTCTGTAGCAGCATGAGGAGCCCCTGGAAAGCAAGAAAGGATGTTTATATCATTCCAGATTACTGACCAAAGGGCAGCAGGCCCTGTCTTGGACACCAAGGCCTAGAATGGGACCCCTTCTTTCTAAGCCACACATCCCAAAGACTCTAGCCTCCCTCCTCCCAAATAGCACACAGTCCTCGTTCAGCTCAGGAGGCCTTGAAAAGCTTCTGCTGATTCTCTGAACCACTAACACCTATCTCTTTAAAAATATTATCAACAAAGAGTTACAACAATAAGGATTTTTTTTTTTTTTAGTTGGAGTCTCACTCTGTCGCCCAGACTGGAGTGCAGTGGCCACTCCCGGCTACCGCAACCTCGACCTGCTGGGCTCTGGCGATCCTTCCACCTCAGCCTTCCAAGTAGCCGGAATTACAGGCATGCACTACCACGCCCGGCTGATTTTTTGATTTATTGTAGAGATGAAGTCTCGCCGCCCAGACGGGTCTCAAACCCGTGGGCTCAGGCAATCCACTCACCTCAGCCTCCCAAAGGTGTAGGATTACAGGCTGAGCCACCGAGCCCAGCTACCAATAAGGATTTTTAATGGAGAAAAATAATCACTAATCACTTTCTTAATTTTAAAGTGTTCCTTTTCAGTCCTTTTTCACATGCATATTTCTTTAAATAGCTGTAATCATAATTATGATTTTATAAGCATTTTTATCTTATTTTATTACAATTTTCATGTTTTTCCACACAATCTTCAACAATGATTATTCTCTGCTGTGTGCAGTGGCTCAAGCCTGTAATCCCAGCACTTTGGGAGGCCGAGGCGAGAGGATTTGAGACCAGCCTGGGCAACTTGGTGAGACCTTGTCTCTACAATAAATAAAAAAATTAGATGGGCCAGGCTTGGTGGCTCAGCCTGTAATCCCAGCACTTTGGGAGGCCGAGGTGAGTGGATTGCCTGAGCTGGAAGGTTCAAGACCAGCCCAGGAAACTTGGTGAGACCTCATCTCTACAACAAAAAGTCAAACATTAGCCAGGCATGGTAGTGCATGCCTGTAGTTCTGGCTACTTGGAAGGCTGAGGCAGGACTGCCAGAGCCCAGCAGGTTGAGGCTTGAGTGGCCGTGAGTTTGCTACTGCACTTTGCCTGGACGATGAAGTAAGACTCCAACTCAAAAAAAAGAAAAAATTAGCTGAGCGTGGTAGCATGCATCTAGCTGCTTGGAAGGCTGAGGCAGAAGGATCGTCTGAGCCCAGCAGTTCAAGGTTGCAGTGGACCTTGAGCAGTGTGTCTAACCTGGGCGACAGAGTGAAGCTTTGACTCAAAAAATAAGATTATTCTCAATGCTTAGTAGTCCTGTCATATGGCTATACCCCAGTTTACTTAACCATTTATCTTTTGTCAGATACTTAATTTCCTTTTTTCCTCAACCTTTATTGATAAGACTATAGTATACATTCTTTTTTTTTTTCTTTTTGAGTTGGAGTCTCACTCTGTCGCCTAGACTGGAGTGCAATGGCCGCTCCCGGCCACCACAGCCTCGACCTGCGGGGCTCCGGCGATCCTTCCGCCTCAGCCTTCCGAGTAGCCGGAATTACAGGCATGCGCTACCACGCTCAGCTGAGAGTTTTTGATTTATTGTAGAGACGAGGTCTCTCTGCCCAGGCGGGTCTCGAACCCGCAGACTCAGGCAATCCACTTACCTCAGCCTCCCAAAGGCCCGGGATTAGAGGCTGAGCCACCAAGCCCGGCTAGTAAACATTCTTGCATCTGATGTTTTCCTAATCCCACTGTTCACTTGCAATCACTGTGCTTACCCTCTGCCCATCTTCCAAAGGCTTTCCTTAGTCTACCTGTCCGGGTCATCACCCACTGTAATGTACATGCCTCATCCAGCCAGCCCCACTTCAGCCATGTTTATTGTGCCTCCATGGTTTAACTTATGCTGTTCCTTTCACTAGGAGCATGTTCTCTTTTCTCCTCCACCTATCTAAATCCTATGCAGGTTTCAAAGTCTGAGTCCCCCTCATCAACAAGGGTAGCTGCATAATGAATATTTGTACACCTAACCCTGAATTGTACCCGACATCTCTAAAATAAAAAATTTAAAAGTTAAAAAAAAAAAGTTAAATTAAAAAGCAAAACAAACCCCCTCCCCAAAGTCTGAGTCCCTCAAACAGTTCCAGGAAAATAGCTTATTAAAGTGGCTATTAGAATAAAAAATGGATGTAAGATTTTAGGCTAGCTCTGCAATTTAGTTACCTATGCTTTTGCTGCTGCGTCATGTCGTTTGTCTCTTTCTAAAGTGAATATTCTTACTTTTCCAATTATAAAAGGAATAGTTGTAAGACACAAAACCCAGAAGCCATAAAAAGACTTACAGGTTTGATGACATGCAATTCTGAAACCTCAGTATATCAAGAGACACCAAAAACAAGTCAAAATATAAGAAACTGTCTACAATAAAATATTTTAACACCTATAAAAGAGAGAAGGTTAATATACAGAATCCAGAAGGACTGACTACAAATCAGTAAGAAAAAAAGCAAACAACCAAATAGGAAAACAGAAGAGTGAACAGGTACTGCACAGACTGCCAATGGCCGGCTCACTGTGACTACTTTTATTAATTCTGCCTTTAGCTGACTGTGTACTCCAGCAATATTTGGTCATTCTCAGTGTAGAGGCCTTGCACATCTTTTAAGAGATTCTTCCTTTAGTGTTATCAGTATAGCTAGGCACAAAGCTGACCATGGCACATCACTGCTATGCGTGGTCAACGTGATTAATTTTTGGCCAATTCTGTGATGCGAGCAGAAATGACAGGTACAACTTCTGGGTTCACTCTAAATTTTTCCTTCTCTCCTTCCTAGAAAATGAGTATGAATGGAGGGGTGGAAGTGCTCATTTTTGGCCAGACCATTAAAGTCATAAGTTGAGCCAGGCTCAGTAGCTCAGCCTGTAATCCCGCGCCTTTGGGAGGCTGAGGTGAGTGGATTGCCTGAGCCCGCGGGTTCGAGACCCGCCTAGGCAGGCGAGACCTCAACTCTACAATAAATCAAAAAAAAATTAGCCGGGCGTGGTAGCACATGCCAGTAATTCCGGCTACTTGGAAGGCTGAGGCGGAAGGATCGCCGGAGCCCAGCAGGTCGAGGCTGCGGTGGCTGGGAGCAGCCACTGCACTCCAGTCTGGGAGACAGAGTGGGACTCCAACTCAAAAAAATAAATAAATAAAGTCATAAGTTGAAGGTAGCAGAGCAGTAAGACAGAAGAAATCCAAGTCTCTAATACTCCAGAACCATAATGTTAACCCTGGACTACTCACTCCTTTAGCTGAAGAGAAGTCAGTAACTGCTATTTTGGAGTCTTGGTTGCAGGAAACTTACTTTACTTACCTATTTGTTTATTTTGAGTTGGAGTCTCACTCTGTCTCCCAGGCTGGAGTGCAGTGGCACACTCAAGAGCCACCACAGTATCGATCTGCTGGGCTCAGGTGATCCTTCCACCTCAGCCTTCCAAGTAGCTGGAACTACAGGTGTGCACCATCACATCTGGCTAATTTTTTGATTTATTATAGAGATGAGGTCTCACCAAGTTGCTCAGGCTGATCTCGAACCTGTGGGCTCAGGCAATTCTCTCACCTCAGCCTCCCAAAGTGCTGGGATTATAGGCGTGAGCCACCATGCCCGGTCGCAGGAGTCAAATTTATATCATCGTAGTAAATACAGGCCATATCTATCAAAATTAGAAATGCACATGGTCTTTGATCCAGCAACTCTGCTTCTACGTCTCTGTCTTAGGAAAATATGCACAGACCTGTACAAAGACATTCACTGCATCATTGCTTCAGATCATGAGGAAAAAGATACTAGGGAAGTGTCCATCAATATGGGAATGGTTAGATAAGTCATGGCTTGTCCATATCATGAGAGACAAGGCAGTACATATAACAAATAAAGAAAGTCAGGATGGATCTTATAGAAAGATGTAGAAGACAATCAAAGGAGAATAGAAAAGAAAGCAGCAAAAAAATATTTACAAGTCAGGCTCGGTGGCTCAGCCTGTAATCCCGTGCCTTTGGGAGGCTGAGGTGAGTGGATTGCCTGAGCCCGCGGGTTCGAGACCCGCCTGAGCAACTTGGCGAGACCTCATCTCTACAACAAATAAAAAAATCAGCCGGGCGTGATAGCGCATGCCTGTAATTTTAGCTATTCGGAAGGCTGAGGCAGAAGGATCACCGGAGCCCAGCAGGTCAAGGCTGTGGTGGCCGGGAGCGGCCACTGCACTCCAGTCTGAGCAACAGAGTGAGACTCCAACTCAAAAAAAAAAAAAAAAAAAAGCTTTGAGGCAGACAAGACTGAAGTCAACATAGAACTAAGGGAGTATTGCTGCTGTGAGAAGTGAGCATTCCAGAGATACTCAGATCAGCTAAAAGCAGAGTTTGTGAAAACAACGATAGCATCTGGCGGGCTGAGTGAATATCAGCAATCTGTTGTGGACCTGGTCTGGTTGAGGGAATTTCTGTCGCAATGTGATTGGAGGGGTGTTTACCTGGAGGGTTCAGGAAAGAAAGCGGGTGCCAGCAACAGGGGAAAGGGAGCATGTGCACATATAGAGACGCAATATGTCCTTCTGTAGGTTCACCATCATCTTGATTTAAGACTTTGAGTCTTCCAAGTATCCGGAACTATAGACGTGCGGTACCACACCCAGCTAATTTTTGATTTATTATAGAGACAAGTTCTCACCAAGTTGCCCAGGCAGGTCTCGAACCTGCGGACTCAGGCAATCCATTTGCCTCGGCCTCTCAAAGTACTGGGATTACAGGCTGAGCCACCAAGCCTAGCCTGTTTTTTTTTTTTTTTTTTTAAAGAGAGCTATCATTTTTATCTCAACTTACTTTTTCTTTACTTTTCTTTCTTTTCCTTTTTTTTTGAGTTGGAGTCTCACTCTGTCACCCAGGATGGAATGCAGTGGCATGCTCACAGTCACCGCAGCCTAGACCTGCTGGGTTCAGGAGATCCTTCTGCCT